AAAAAAAAAAAAAAAAAAAAAAAAATGAGGGCCAGGGATGTAACCCACTGTAAAGACCCTGGGTTCAATATGTGCAGTACCTGTACCATAAAAAAAAAAGCCTAAAATATGTAAATATGATATTCTAAGAGAATATGGAATTAACAGAGGTAAAATGCCATGCTGCTTCAAGTTCTTTACCCTTATAATTTACAGAATATCCAAAATGTGGGGCTGGGGTTTTAGCTCAGTGGCACCACGCCTGCCTTGCAAAGCACAAGGTTCTGAGTTCAATCCCAGGTATGAAAAAACAAAAAAAATTCTCACAAAATGTATACAGCTCCCAAACAACCAGCCTCTCCAAATCTATCTTTTCAATAATTCCCTTATTCCCACCTTCAGGAAGGGTGGCTGAGGTTGTAAGGATAACTGTTACTCTTTTCATTATCAACAGAAGCATTGGCATATGCCCATGAGAAAGTATATGCAGTCAGTGCAGAGATATATGCGCAACATAATGCAGCACCTGAAAAACAGGAAAGATGGATGACTTTGCCTTGACCTTCAGTTCAATAAAACTGAACTGAACCGAACCGAACCAAGGGAGCAGAGCTTTGTCTTTGGCAATGCAATGGTAATGGGCAACATTCTTGAACATACAAAAGTCCTGCTATGCAGGATGCTTACTTCTAAAAAAAGGAATTCTTGGTACTTACTCTTTTGCAGTACCAAAAATCCAGGTTTGGTACATACTCGAGAGTGATTTCTTTGTCATGGATCATTACAGTTCCCTGAAAGAAAAGGATTACAACCATTAATATCAACCCTAAGAGAAATAGAGATAAATAGGAAGGCACAGAGAGCCTTTTCAGTCTCCAGGCTGAAATATTTTGTAAGCTTATGCATCAGCAAAAGGAAATGGCTGTTTTAAGCCACAGACTTGGGGCTTGTAGCAGAGAGAGCTTAAACTTAGGGAAGGGAAGGAGAAGTTGAATTCAGTCTTCGGCCTTGGCTCCAGTGGGCTGGGGTGCTGTCCTTGGGCAGGCAAGGCCCAGTCTACTCCTTCAGAGGTCATGCAGCGCACGTTCATGAGTCCCAGCCAAGTTCCCCACCTGGTTCACAAGCTAGTACACTATCAAGAAGAAAGCTCTTTCTTCTGTAGTTCAGAGGGCAATTCACACCTCTTTGGAGAGGCATACGGTCTATAACTTTGGTGCCTAAACATTTTCTTTGGAATACTGACTGCTTGGCAAAAGTACAAGGAGAAAGAGATCAACACTGAAGACAGGAAGGGGGAAGGTGAAAGCTTCATGGCGTATTACTTTCTTATAGCAGTAAACTTGAGTGGCTGGTGGCAGCAGTAGTGGTGGTGACGGCAACAGTAGCAAGATCACTTCCAGTTTGGAGCCTACGGAGTGAGCCAACCCTAAGATCTGAAGAGCAACCACTGGCAAATGAGCCTTTGGGAAATGTGGTAGAGGAACAAGTATGAAAGGGGCACAATAAGCCTGCATATACAGAGCTCACTTGCTCTTCCATTTTGTACAAGTCACAAATTCTATTTCATATCCAAAAAAAATATTAAGTTTTGTTTAATAAATACAAGCCAGCAGATTTGTGTTGGAGTAGAAGGAAAGGAACCCTCACACATACTTATAAGTGATTCTAGAACTAGCCCCTGTGTTTGTGCTCATTCTCCACTCTTTAAGGTTCTCTGTCTCTTTGGACAAGGCCCTGAGTTTTACAAGTCATTTCTTTGCAATTGACCCCAGTTTCTTGTTTGGATCCATACATCTGTCAAAAAATGTTTTACTTCTCTGCTTTTCACACCAGAAAAGTCAAGAGAAATACATAAAATAAGATTATTTTCTTGTCAAAAGCAAAGGAAAACTGCCCACCTACCTAGGGCTTAGAATCTGTTCTCCGGGAAACTGTTTTCTGGCTTGACCTCAAGGCTAAAGGACAGCAATAAAAATTGCTAACATTTATTAAGTGCTTACTCAGAGCCAGAAGCTGCTAAATTATGTTACTTAATCCCTGATAATCTCATGAAGTAATATTTCCACTTTACAGACGAGGAAACATGTTAAAAGGGGCCAGATCATCCAGCTGACAAATATCAGATCTCATCAGGGACTGTAGAAAAAGGACCTTCTGTCTCACTCAGTAATTCCTGCTCAATATCAAGGATAGGCAATCTACCTCAACTAATCAGGAAAGAAAGAAGTTCTGCAAGCAGAAAGGATTAGGGGATCCGCCAAGCTCTACCCATGCAGGACGTTGGTCAGTACAGCCCCCTTCCAAACACAAGGGCAGTGTATCACATCATTTAAGAACATGCGCTCTGGGACAAACTCCCTAAATTTGAATCCTGCCTCCACTCCACGATCTTCAGTAAGGCCCTTAACTTTGTGCTTTAGTTTCCTCATCTGTAAAGTGGAGATTGCAGAACCTACTTGATAGGGTAAACACTATAGAAATAGAGTACATGTAAAAAGCTTAGCATGGGATATATAGTGAAGGCTCAATAAATGTTGACTACTTCAAGCGTAAGTGCTCAAAAAAGACTTGCAGTAGCAAATAAGAATACATAGGGTCAAACAATCACTCACTTCTGGTGGGAGTATTTCATGATCCACTTCAATCTCAAACACTAAGCTTTCACAGAGAAAAGTCAATACACATCAGAACCATAATTTGTGTTAACTGTCAAACTTTTTATTATCAGCAGTAAAAAGTATCTAGTACAAAAAAGGAATTTATAAGCTTTTGGGGAATGAAAGGCTGAATACACTCAACTATCCTTAGGGAAACAGAGCCTTAGCACCCAGAGATTGTGGAGGGAGGTATTGCTCTCACAGCATACATATGTACACCCAGTACAAAAACACAAGGGCTGTCATTTGAAAAATAATCAGCAGTAACCACTAGAACAAGTAACACTGAATTTTAGTCAACTGCAAATACTGATTTCACCACATTCAGGAATTTTGAAGGCAAGGAAAACTCAGACAACAAACATTATTCTAGTAGCTGTATGACCTTTTTTTGAGGGTGGCATATTCCCCCTGTCAGAAGTCATCTGGGCACATCCACTCAGATTCCCTTCACCTCAAGTGCTACAAAGGCAATGAGTTCTTATTCTTACAGAGTATCCTATAATTCAGGCAGCCTTTTTTCTCAACCTGCGTATGGCTAGACATCAGGATGCCAGTAAAACAGTGCAAAAGAATATGAAATGGTTTTAACATCACTGATGAAAAGCAGTCAATTATTCTAAGGATAAACAGTTACAGAAAAAATCTGAATAAGAATAAAACAGGTTTTTCTATTATTTGATTCCATCATTATTATCAAACACAGGTAGCTGGGATATACCATGTACATGTATAATGTGCATGTGCGTTTATGTGTATTTTGCACCCCTTCCCATTCCTCTCTCCAGATTTCACAGAGCAGTAATCTGTCAAGTGTCTCCCAGGGAAGTAACCTGTGGGGAGATGGATTAACAAACAGGTAGAATGATGCAATCACTTAGTGGCTGGCTGCTCTTGTCTACTATCTACTATCTTTACACAAAAAATTTTATTTCTATCCATTTGAAATATTGGATTATTAAGCTACTTAAGTAAAGGTACCATGAAAAGTACTCAAAGCCATGAATTTGATTAACAGGTCTGACTCCTAAAGAAGCATCATAGTTTTTAAAGTAAAATTAGGCATGTCCTTTACAGCTGTGTTAAGCTTAACTATTAGTTTGAAACATGCTAAAATCCTCAAATCCCAAGCTCTCATTTTGGCAAAGTTACACATAGGTGTTTCTAAGTATATTCCAAGTGGTTATAACATGAAGTTGCAAAAAAGATACAGGTATTTTTACTCTAGCTGGGGATTTAGCTCAGTGGTTCCACTGCTTGCCTTGCATGTGGCAAGGTCCCAATTTCGATCCCTGGTTTAAAAAAAAAAAAAAAAAAAAGATATTTTTACTCCAGAATCAGAAAACAACTCCTATTCTCCACCACAAGGACACTGGGTCTGAGGGCTGAATTCGACATTTGACATCTACATTCCCTTTTGCATCAGCTACTGTTAAGAGACGTCACAACTCCCCTTTGTGAGTGTCAGTCTATGAGGACTTGTACCAGAGCTGAGACTCTATATGCATCCTCTGGCTCATAACCAACCCTCAAGGATTCTTAATGTATAGGTAGTATACATTAAGTATATAGAAATATACATTTCTATGCAAGAGAAAATGTATAGAAAAGGATTTTTTGTTTCTTTTATGAAAGTCATTGGATTTTGTCTGTTGGTTTTGCAGTTTTTGTTGTTGTTGTTTTTTGTTTATTTCTGGTACCAGGGATCAAACTCTTGTCCTTGTGCTTGTGAGGTAGGAGGCACAATCACTGAGCTAAATGGCCTGTTTTTTCTTTTTTTTTAGAAAAGTTAACTTCTGGCCAGCAGGCAACTCTGTATATCTGTTGAAGACTGCCAACTCAAGCTCAGTCCCAGTTATATGTTGTACTAAGAATACCACTGCTCTGTGACATAAAAGACTTTTCCATTAAAGCACAGAGAAAGACAAATAGGATTAAAAGATGGAGGGAAAAAAGTATGTGTACCTTGTAAAAATAACACTAAAAAAACAGCAATCCTCTTCACTGATTTGTTCTTCCAGACACAGGATAGGAGAATTAGGTTATTATTATTATTTTTCCTTTTTGGGTGCCAGGAATTTAATTCAGAGCCTTGTGCTTGGTAGGCAGGTGCTACACTGTTGAGTTACATCCTGGCTCAAGAATTAGGTCATTGGTGGGCAAGAACCAGTACAGAGATAGTAATACTTATTCAGAAAGCAATTTATAGTTTAGGACATCATTGTTTACAAATGTCATCCCATCAAATCTTAAGCAGGGCACATGTAAATCCTATTTATACATAAGAAATTACAGCTAGTATGTATGGAATAGCCTGCCCAAGATTCCAGAGTTAGCTGACAATAAATACAGTATGAGTAGGGTTTTTTTTTTGTTTTTTTCATATTGCCTTTCCTTTCAATTCATTATACTTGTGATTTCTGATGAAGATATACAAGATAAAGTCTGAAGAAATTTGCCGGGCATGGCGGTACATGTCTGTAATCCCAGTACTTGGAGGCTGAGGGAGGACAACTGTGAGTTAGAGGCCAGCCCCGGTTACATAGTGAGTTGAATGATGGCTGGAACTACATAGCATGACCATGTCTCAAAAAAAACAAACAAACAAAAAAACACCCAAAAACAGACAATGGGCCCATAAAGAGTTTTTAGAGACTGCCATTAGGGCTTTTCTTCTTGGCAGCACTGCCAATCCTCCACACTGGCTTCCTCAAGCTGGTCTTTCTGCCTTTTAACTCCCACAATTACTTTAGGTGTTGTTCCTAAGGCAAAGAGTGCTACCAGTAAATGGCTGTTGCCAGGAGTTTCCAGAACAATGACAGTGAGATGGACATGGGGGTGTATACCTGAAATCCTAGCACTCAGGAGGCTGAAGCAAGAGGATCACAAGTTCAAGTCCAGCAGGAACTACATACTGATACTATGTCTCAAAAACACCAAATAAAAAAATAACTATGACAGTAAAACGAACCTAGGGAAAGTATAAAGCAAGAGGAACAAAAATAACAGCTTTAAAATAGATGAGAGCTAAATTTATGAGTGACTGCGTATTTTTTGCTTAGGTTTCTTTGCAGTACTCATGCTAAGCAAGTGATCTATCACTAAGCTACATTTTCAGTTTTGTTTTGTTTTTT